GTAACCCCTCTCTCATGATCCTATATGTAGCTCCAATAAACTCATTGGTGGACTAAGTTGGACTTTGGTGGTGTCTGTACTCTCGTGTGTCACGGCTCCCTACCTGGGGTGAGTTGATGTGTACAGTGTCACCCCAGGAAGAGTTTTGTCACACACCACTAGGGAAGCCATAAAGCACACATTGAAGCTTACCCCACACTGGAAAAGCAGAGGACATTATGACCCAGACTCTGAAGACTTCAGGCTCACCTGAGGTGCCCAGGGCTGCCCTTCTGCCCCAGAACTGCTGGAGTTGCTGCTGTTTGTACACCCTGCTCTGAGGAAAGGGGTGGGCAGGGAAGCCTCCAGTTGCATCAGGGAATCCTCCAGCTCCTGCACCTGCCAGTGATGGAGGATCAGACTGTGGCTTCACATACAGACAGTTCTGTCAGCAGCAGGAACCCAACCAAGTCCTGTCCATATGACCTGAGACAGGTCCCCAGCTGCCACTCAACACTTACCACTCCCCCAACCTGGGGACTGCAGCTACTAGCAGGGGGTGGGGGAGGTAGGGACAGTTCCACTTTTTTTTTTAGGATTTATTTATTTTTATTATTTTATGTACATCGGTGTTTTGCCTGCATGCATGTCTGTGAGAGTGTTGGGTTGCTGGGAACTGGAGTTACAGGCAGTTGTGAGCTGTCAAGTGGGTTCTGGGACCTGAACGTGGATCCTCTGGAAAAGCAGCCACTGCTCTTTTTTCCTTTCTAAATTTTTAGGAGACTCAGTATTTCTCTGGATCTCCCCAACTCAAGTCATCCTTCTGCCTCAGTCTCCCATGTAGCTGGAATTTCTTTCTCTCTTTCTTTCTTTCTTTCTTTCTTTCTTTCTTTCTTTCTTCTCTCTCTCCTCTCTCTCTCTCTCTCTCTCTCTCTCTCTCTCTCTCTTCTTTTTTTTGTTTTTTTATTTTGTTTTGTTTTTCGAGACAGTGTTTCTCTGTAGCTTTGGAGCCTGTCCTGGAACTAGTTCTTGTAGTCTGGGCTGGCCTCGAACTCACAGAGATCCACCTGCCTCTGCCTCCCAAGTGCTGGAATTAAAGGCGTGCACCCTGCATGCAGCTGGAATTTTAAGTGTGCACCACACATTTCATTTCTGTGCTGGTGAGAGGAGTCTCAGCAAGCTAAGAGCGGAGGAGTCTAGGCGGGCTTTGTATGCACCCTGTCCCCCAGTTTGTTTGTTTGTTTGTTTTTGTTGTTGTTGTTGTTTGTTTTGTTTTTTGAGACAGGGTTTCTCTGTAGCTTTGGAGCTTGTCCTGGAACTAGCTCTTGTAGACCAGGCTGGCCTCGAACTCACAGAGATCCGCCTGCCTGTCTCCCGAGTGCTGGGATTAAAGGCGTGCGCCGCCACCACCCGGCCCCAGTCTGTTTTTACTTCTCTTTTGAGACAATGTTTGCTCATCTTGTCCAAGCTGCTGTTAAATTGTGATTCTCCTGTCTTAGCCTCTGAAGTTCTTAGCATTTCAGACTTGTCCCATTATAGATGAGTTTGACATTTCCCATCATCCCGTCCCCTTCACCACTTCTCTGCGCCTGGACCACTGCTGTCACCCCACCCCCATCATCAGGGGCGTGGTCTACCACCAGACTGTTCTAACCACAGTCAGCAGATGGCGCAAGGGAGAACCTGCAGCAGGTCCAGCTCCCTTCAGGACGCAGGTCCCTGCCTTGAGCTCCGGCTCTGGCTTCCCTCAGAGTTTTAAGATGAAAACAACAACAACAAAACAAACAAACAAAAAAACCAAAAAACCCTCTTCCTCCCCAGTTGCTTTTAGTTGTGGTGTTTTATCACAAAAAGAAACCCTAAAACAGGATTATTCGGTGTGTGTGGTGTGTGTGTGCGTGCAGGGCCCAGGGCCTCACACTCCTCAGGCAAGGCCTCTACCAACAAGGTACTCAGAACCTTAAAAAAAAAAAAAAAAAAAAAAAAAGCAGAAAAAGAAATTGACACCCAGGCTGGCCTTCAACTCAATCTACATTGGAGAATTTGGCCTTGGTCTTGACTGAGCAGTCTTTCACTTGAGATTGTCTCTCCTCCGCTTCTAGAGTGCACCCTGCCTGGCTTCCTTCTGACAGTCAATCTGGGCCTCGAGACCCCTCTTTTACTTTGCTGTCTTCTTTGGTCCCTTCTCTGGCATGTTTTTCATTGCTCCACATCGGTTTGTTGAATGAACAAATGTGTTCTGGAGGCAGAATCTGCCCTGTCCCCAGTCAGAAGCTCACCTGTCTCTGCAGGGTCTCCTTCTCTGCCTGGGCGTCCTGCAGGGAAGCTTGAGTGCAAACCAGCTCATCCTCCCTGCTGCCCAGGGCCAGCCGCAGCCAGGCATTCCTCTCTATGAGGCGAGCTGCCTCCTGCTGTCCAGACCCGGCTTTTTCCTGATCACCAAAGGACCCAGGTGCCCCCTGGTCACTGTCTTCTCCTTTTGCTGGCCTCGGAAAGCTTAGGGAGTGGTGACGCCAGGCGGATACGGTGGTCTCAAGGGAGCTCAGCCTGCTCTGCAGGGTCTGGAACACGCTGGCTACTGACGTCTCAGCAGGGCCACTATCAGGGGTGGCTGCCTGCGGAGTCTGGGGGTTTTCCTCCTCAGACTTGCACCCTTCTTCTGGCTTCAAGGCTAGGGCCCCATGGGATCCCACACAATAATCATCCTCAGGCCTATGAAGACAACCCGGGACCCCAGTTGGTTCAGCAGGGGCTTTGGAGCTAGACCTCAGAAGGGTGAGCAGGCAGTGAGCTGCATGACTGAGGAGGAAAGGGAAGGGAGGGGAGAGGATGAAGGAGAGGAGGCAAGAGGAAGCTAAGGCAGATGTGGGGGGGTGGGCAGCAGCTTTGTGAGGGGCACCTGCTGGCATAGGAAGCACTAAATTCATCCCACCGGCTCCCGGGTCTCTGCAGGTCAGGACTAATGTGTTTCGGAAGCAGCCCGAGTTTGGCCTCAAAGTTCCCACTGTTGACCTCCATCTCCTCTGAACTCTCAGCCACTGGGTCCAGCTCCCCCTGCAAATGACATCCATCCCATAGGCTCTCAGCCACTGGGTCCAGCTCCCCCTGCAAATGACACCCATCCCGCAGGCTCTCAGTCACTGGGTCCAGCTCCCCCTGAGAATGACTGCTCGCCACTACTGCAGGTTCTAAGTGAAGCAGGCTCACTCCTGGGTTCCGGGATCCATGGAATTGGGTACAGCAGGAAGAGGAGCTCACTTACGGGTGGAGGATGCCTCCCTCGGCGACTGCGAGGCCGTGTGGCCCGGGCACTCATGGCTTCTTCCACCCCTGATCACAGCCTGCTCTTAGATTCTCTTTGTCGGCCTGGATCCTTGGTTTCCCCCCGGAAGGAGTTTTGGGTCAACTGCATCAATTGAACACATTTGAATATTTGACTGCCTCACCCGATGGCACCCATTCTTGTCCATTTGCCCCAACCCTCGCCCTCTTCTCTACCTGACACTCCTTTTCTCTCAGCTGCCTGAATGCATTGTTCCTATCTGTGTCCCCCCCACCCCATGGAGGCATGGGATAGGGATCCCAAGAATCTGTTTTCTTCCCCGGACTCTCCTAACACCAAACTTCCTCTCCGTGTGTGTGTGTGTGTGTGTGTGTGTGTGTGTGCGTGTGTGTCCACCCTCCGCTCTGCTCCAGGGCACCCTGGGAAAGGCCTGAGCTCCTGGGCGCATCTCAGGTCACCCTGGCTACAAAGGCTGCACTGGCCAAGGCTGGTCTGGGAGGGGCTGAGAAACAGGAAGGCCCCTGCCCTGGTCACATGGACAGTTATTGTCTTGTTTCCTTCTCCAGGATGTCAGCTTCCTACAGAACGGGGACAGGATGGAGTAGGGGACTCTTGTCCCTCTCCAAGATATCAGCTACCCCCCCCATTCTAAACCTTTAGTCCCTCCATTTTCTCAGGTTCAGCATGGCTCACTCCACTGTAATGTCTTTTTATTACATTACTCCACTGTAATGTATTATTATTATTTTTATGTGTTTCTAAAACAAAAATAAAAAAACCCGTAGGAGTGGGCTCCAGCATTGGAATAAAATTATGCCTTTCATTCCTTTGCTTTATTTGTTTGTGTTTGTGTACATGCTCTTCTCCTTCCACCATGCAGGTCCCGGGGATTGAGTCAGGTCTTCAGGTTTGTGGTGCTGGCCTCCGTTCACCACACCGTAATGTTTCTCTTCAACAAGAAGGACTGCTCTTCCCACAGAGCCCTACTTGTCTGCCCTGTCTGCATCAGAAGGCTTCGGTGGGACAACGAGCCTGTCCACAGTGTGTCTGCTGGCTTTTCTTTTTTACTTTTTCTTTCCATTTTGGTTTTTAGACGGGTCTCATATAGTGCGGGATAACTTGAGCAGCCGATCTTCGTCTTCTGACCTCTGGGGTGCTCGAATGACAGGTGTGCACTATCAGCCCCCATCGCGATAGTATTGGATGAGTGCCAGCATATGTAAAATAAGAACAGAAATAAGCCGGCGGTGGTGGCACTTGCCTTTAATCCCAGCACTTGGGGGCCAGAGAGCATTTGGGAGTTCAAGGCCAGCCTGCTCTACAGAGCGAGTTCCAGGACAGCTAAGACAGAGAAACCCTGCCTCAAAAAAAAATCAATCAATCAATAGGTGGATAGATATAGGTAAACAAACAAACAAACAAACAAATAAGCAGAAATAAGTAGTTGAGAGAGCCTTTGGCAAACCCAAACCAAACCCTATCCTGTCAATCATCAATCAGCCCCACCCAGGTCAGTCTCCTGTCCTATCACAGCAGAATTCTTGACAACTGTTGTCAGTTGAAACCCGAACTACAAGCTCCGCCCAATCTTGCTTCAGTCAACTCCAGACCACACCCATTCCCAACAATACCCTACCTCAGCCCCACTCCGGCCAGTTATATTCTAATTTATACCTCCGGGATCGCCTCAGCCTATCAGTGTGCAGGTCCTGAGGTTCATGGAACTACATTTCCCAGAAGGCGCCACGGCAACTCCGTACAAACTTCCGGTCAGGAAGATGGCGGCTATCTAGAACCCTGTGATTGACTGGCTGCGGTACCTAGGCTGCAGAGTGGAACCTGGCTGTGTGTCCGCGCGCGAGCTTTGTGTCGCAGTGATTAAACTTCGATCCGACTTGCTGCAGCTCTAGGTTCGTTCTGCTTGAGGAGCTGGGGTCTGTGGAGTCCCGAGTCGGAGCACCGCAAGAAACGTGCATCTATTGCGCGGTCGGCGATTTGGATGGGCGTCTGCATCCCACAGACCTGACCACCCGAGTCCGCGCCACGCTCTCGTGCACGATCCAATCACTCACGCGCTGTAGCCTCGGGCGACAGAAACCCAGACACAAACTTGCCAAAGCCAGCAAGGCAACTGGGGAGCTCTGAAAAGGCTTCAGGCACAGCTGGATCCAGGCGCCCAGAAGTGGCTTAGGCGGTCAGCCAGGCGTCTCTTCGCGCAGGCACCGCCCCAGGGGAAAAGGGGGCTTTCAAAAGCCTTCAACTGCTTGTTCTCAGCTTGACAAACCCATTAGGTCTCTTTTCCTTTTCTGTCTCTTGGAACTCTCAGGTGTGGGAGCCACCAAAGGCCTTACTGGGTCAAATACCCATCGCTGAGTATTCCCGGTGACCAGGCAGCTGTGTTTATTGGCCCAGTGATGGGCAAACACAGAGTTTGCCCTGTTACAAGAGGTGGAAAGCTAAGATTGGGGTACAGTTCATTTGATGCAGTGCTGTGGCTCAGTGGGTGAAGTGCCTACCCAGCACGCACGAGGCCCTGGGCACCACATACACCGGATATGGCGGTGCAATCCCAACATGCAGAAGGTGGATGCCGAGGGTCGGGGTTACCAGGTCACTCTAAACCATGTATGTTATGTATGTGAGTGAGCGGCCAGCCTGGGCTACACGAAACTGTGTCACAAACAAAAAAGAAGGAAAATGAAAAAGTTGTAATTGACTTCACCTGTGGGTGGTTCCTGGCTTCGCTCTTTTTTTTTTTTTTATCGATATTTTTCGAGCTCTACATTTTTCTCTGCTCCCCTCCCTGCCTCTCCCCTCCCCTTCAACCCTCCCCCAAGGTCCCCATGTTCCCAATTTACTCAGGAGATCTTGTCTTTTTCTAGTTCCCATGTAGATTAGATCTATGTATATCTCTCTTAGTGTCCTCTAGCTGTCTAAGTTCTCTGGGATTGTGGTTTGTGGGTTGGTTTTCTTTGCTTTATGTTTAAAAGTCACGTATAAGTGAGTACATGTGATAATTATCTTTCTATGTCTGGGTTACCTCAATCAAAATAATGTTTTCTAGCTCCATCCATTTTCCTACAAAATTCAAGCTGTCGTTACTTTTTTTCTGCTGTGTAGTACTCCATTGTGTAAATGTACCACATTTTCCTTATCCATCTTTCTGTTGAGGGTCATTTCGGTTGTTTCCAGGTTCTGGCTATGTCAAACAATTCTGCTATGAACATAGTTGAGCACATGTCTTTGTGGCACAATTGAGCATCCTTTGGATATATACCCAAAAGTGGTATGTGGCATTACTGGGTCTTGAGGAAGGTTGTTTCCTAATTTTCTGAGAATTCGCCACACTGACATCCAAGGGGGTTGTACCAGCTTGCATTCCCACCAGCAATGCAGGAGTGTTCCCTTTTCCCCACAACCTCTCTAGCATAAGTTGTCATCAGTGTTTTTGATCTTGGCCATTTTTACAGGTATCAGATGGAATCTCAGAGTTGTTTTGATTTGCATTTCTCTGATGATTAAGAATGTTGGGCATTTCCTTAAGTGTCTTTCAGCCATTTTAGATTCCTCTGTTGAGATTTCTCTGCTTAGGTCTTGACTCCTTTTTTTTTTTTTTTTTTTTTTTGAATTGGATTATGTGTTCTTTTGGTGTCCAGTTTCTTGAGTTCTTTGTATATTTTGGAGATCAGACCTCTGTCTGATGTGGGGTTAGTGAAGATCTTTTTCCATTCTGTAGGCCGTCGTTTTGTCTTGTTGACCGTGTCCTTTGCTTTACAGAAGCTTTTCAGTTTCAGGAGGTCCCATTTATTAATTGTTTCTCTCAGTGTCTGTGCTGCTGGGGTTATATTTAGGAAGTGGTTCCCTGTGCCAGTGCATTCAAGTGTACTTCCCACTTTTCTTCTATAAGGTTCAGTGTGTTCAGTTATGTTGAGGTCTTTGATCCATTTGGACTTGAGTTTTGTGCATGGTGATAGATATGGGTCTATTTTCATTCTTCTACATGTTGATATCCAGTTATGCCAGCTTGTTAAATGTTATGCCACGTGTTAAATGTACTTTCTTTTTTCCATTTGATATTTTTTGCTTCCTTGTCAAAAATCAGGTGTTCGAAGATGTATGGATTGATATCCAGGTCTTCTATTCGGTTCCATTGGTTCTTCTGTCTGTTCTTATGCCAATACCAGACTGTTTTCAGTACTGTAGCTCTGTAGTAGAGTTTGAAGTCAGGTATTGTGATGCCTCCAGAAGTTCTTTTGCTGTACAGGATTGTTTTGGCTATCCTGGGCTTTTTTGCTTTTCCATATGAAGTTGAGTACCGTTCTTTCGAGGTCTATGAAGATTTTGGCTGGGATTTTGATGGGCATTTTGTTGAATCTGTCCTGGCCTCACTCTTGAGGGAGCCGTTCTGCAGCCATCAGAGATTCCCGCGCAGCAAGGGGCTCATAGCTCAGCTTCTAGCTTTTAGTAACCAGTTGCTTTTAAAAACTCTTAAAGCAGGACCCTGGCTTCCGCTGTCCCGTCTCCATCCAAGCACCCGGGAGCCATGGAGGTGGCTGAGGCCAACAGCCCCACCGAGGAGGAGGAAGAAGAAGAGGAGGAGGAAGGGGAGGAGCCGACACCCGAGCCCAGGCCTCATACTCGCTCCAACCCTGAGGGGGCCGAGGACCGGGCTCTGGGAGCCCAGACCAACGTGGGCAGCCGCAGCGAGGGCGAGGGTGAGGCGGCGAGTGCAGATGATGGAGCATCCAGTGTCCCAGGAGCCGGGCCCAAGCCCTGGCAGGTACCAGCACCAGCACCTGAGGTCCAGATTCGAACACCACGGGTCAACTGTCCAGAGAAGGTGGTATGTCTTGGTTGGAGATGCAGGGATGGGGTCCTCAGACAGGCCACTCCTGTCTTGTGAGAGTTTCTAAATTGCTACCTCATTTTCCTGTGGGTTCCAGAAGCACCACACACTTGGTGATTTAAACATATTTTTTTATGTGTGGCACCTGGACATGTGCCACTTGCCCCACACTGGGGATCCTAGGCAGGGGCTCCACCCCTCAGCCACGCCCCCAGCC